GACTACTTCCCCTGGTACCCACTTCCGTTGGTCGAAGTGGGTCATTTCTTGCCCGGACGCAACAGCCGCCTGACGGGGCTCCCCGCCCCCCCAACCCCCCACCCCCCAACCCCCGGCCAGGGCCACCTTTCAGAATCCGGTCAGATCATGTCAGCCCTCGCTCAAGACCTCACAGGCCCCTTCTCACCCAGAATCCAGTCAACACTTACCACCACGGCCACTGGCCCTGCCACTTCTGTGACCACAGCACCAGCCTGCCCCCCACACGCAGGGCCCAGCGCGTACGGCCTCAGGGCTGGGCTGGGAGCAGTCTTCCCGTAGATGCTCCACTCCAGGCTCGCATTCAAGTTTAATAAACGTGTAAGGGAGCGAAGTGCTACAGCCACCAATGATAAGGATGTGTCACCTAATATTGAGTTCAAAGAAGTGAGCGGCAGAAGACCACAGAATTCCATGCTGGTGTTGCTACAGCATATTGCTGAGGGCTGTGTCAAGAGCAGGCAGGCAGACGGAAGCAGGGGATGCAGGAAGCAGTGAGGTTGGTGGGGGCCACATGGGAGCTTCCGAGGATAAGTGAGGCCCCATTTCTTGTACACAGGCATTTGATAATCCTTTTTAAAAGACTTTATTTATTTGAGAGAGAGAGAGAGAGTGTGCACGAGTGGGGGAGAGAGGCACAGGGAGAAGCAGGCTCCTGCTGAGCAGGGAGCCCGATGGGGGGCTCGATCCCAGGACCCCGGGATCATGACCTGAGCCGAAAGCAGATGCTTAACTGACTGAGCCACCCAGGACCTTAACTGGCTGAGACACCCAGGCGCCTCTATGTGGTGGCATGTTGTTGTGGTTCTCATCTGATAATGTGGTTCCTCTTTTCACGCACTGACTTGCCATTCACATATTCTCTCTGGTGAAGCATCTGTTCAAACATTTTGCCTGTTTTAAAAACTGGATTATCTTTTTTATTGTTAAGTGATAAGTGCTCCTTATGTTTTTTAGATAGAAGTCCTTTGTCAGATACAGATTTTTCAAATATCTCCTCCAAGTTTGTAGCTTGCCTTTTGTTTTTGTAACAGTGTCTTTTGGAAAACAAATGTTTTTAGGTTTTATGAAGTCTGATATATCATTTTTTCCTTTGTAATAAGCTCATATTTTTGTGTCTTATTTAAGAAATTTTTGCC